TATATATATATATATATATATATATATATATACATATATATATTACCAATTACTAAATTGCAGAATATGTATTGGGAATGGAAACAATATATGGAAAGTTGTGTGTTGTTATTACAAATTGCAGCCAATATATTTACTAATATTACATCTGAATTAGTGTTGCACGAAGTTTTAAATTCAGCACAAGGATATAATTTTCTCTGTCGTGAGTATCTAGAGTAATTTTTTTAAATAAAACTTTATTATTTTATTATTATATAAGAGTTATTCATGAAAACAAAGTCTCACAGTGGCGTAGCCAGGGAGGGGTTGAGGGGGCTACAGTCCCCCCCGAAATTAATTTTCTGGGTTACGCTAAGTGTGAGAAAAATTTCTTCGAATGACCTTTCTTTTTGTTCGTCAAGAATAAAAAGTGCAGCCCCCCCTCCCCGAAACTTTTTTCTGGCTACGTCACTGAAGTCTCATATGAAAAAATTTTATTTTACATTTTCAAATTATTTTTTTCATGTAGAATTCCTTTCTCGATTGTACTGCCAGTTACGGAACATATATGTATATGTACATACACGCGCGCACGCACGCACGTACACATACACACACGTGCACACATATATATATTTTTTTTATGTACAGGGTGGGCCATTTTAATTTATCCAACCGAATATTTCGAAAACTAAGACCGGCAGACAAAAATGTTTCAGACAAAAGTTATATGGATCGATGGGAGATAAAAAGGTACTATCAATTTGACCTTGCGCCCCACCAAGGTCAGGTCGAGATCAACTTTTTTAAATGGAAACATACATTTTTTTATTACGGAATTTTATTCTTTGTAAAGAAACAAACAACTTTTGTTTGAAAACATTTTTTATACGACCATTATTTTCTAAGATATTTACGGAAATATCTACAAAATTATTGGTTTCAATAATTTTTTACTCGAATTGTATCAACTTTACCGAAAAATAGTAAGAGATAAAAATTATCTATTTTCTTCACATAGAACTCTGAGAATTTTTCCAAAATTTTTTAATTAACTTTTTAGTATTTCAAGAAAATGCAATACAATACTAAAAAGTTAATTAAAACATTCTTTAAAAAATCTCAGAGCTCTATGAGAAGAAAATAGATAATTTTTATCTCTTGTTATTTTTCGGTAAAGTTAATAGAATTCGAGTAAAAAACTATTGAAACCAATAATTTTATTAATTAAAACATTCTTTAAAAAACCTCAGAGCTCTATGAGAAGAAAATAGACAATTTTTATCTCTTGTTATTTTTCAGTAGAGTTAATAGAATTCGAGTAAAAAACTATTGAAACCAATAATTTTGTAGATATTTCCGTAAATATCTTAGAAAATAAAGTTCGGATAAAAAATGTTTTCAAACGAAAGTTATATGCTTCTTTACATAGAATAAAATTTCGTAATAAAAAATGTATGTTTCTATTTAAAAACGCAAAGTTCATCTCGATCTTGGCAGGACCACGCAAGATCACACCAATGGTACCTTCTTATGTCCCCCATCAATCCATATAGCTTTTGTCTGCCAGTTTTAATTTTCGAAATATTTGGCTGGATAAATTAAAATGGCGCACCCTGTGTGTGTGTATGTGCGTGTGTGTAAAAATATATATATATATATATATTTCTTTAGATTTAGCTGAAGTTGCAGCTGTTTGCAGACGGGTCAACTTTTCATATAAAGAATTAGATATAAACATTATTGGATTTGATGATTTGTTAATGGACATTGATCGAATTTGGGCTGAAATGGAACCTTTTTACACGAATATACCAGTGAGTTTTGCTCGCTTATATTGCGAATATTTTTTGTGTATATATTTAATTTTGTATGTATTTTAGATTGTAACCGAATTACCTGCTTGGCCAACACGTCAGGGAGATTGTATATCTTGCTCCCTGTGTTTAACAGTTATTACAAGTGGTCGAGTTATTTATAACGATAATAATTACCACGTTACATGTGCAAATTTATGGCTTAATTGTGTAAACAATCAATTGCCAGTAATGCGATATTCATTGATTTATCCTCAGTCAAATACGCACATCTGTCCAGGAAGTCACATTTAATACCAATCTATATATTGTAACACTTGTCAAATTTAAATATGCATAAGAATATACATTTTAAATTGAGATCATATCATTAATACTGAAAATAATCTATAGAAATATTTGTAGGAAAACTTGAATAAAATTTTAGTTTATTTAGCAATCTCATATATATGTGCATCAACAATGTAATATAATTTCATCTTTATGATATTAATACATAAAAACATATTGTAATGTTTATATATGTAATATGTGTGTATACAGGGTGTCCCACCACTACTGCATTAAGAGTGGATTCCTAAAGTAATTTGAAGAAAAAAATCCGGTAATTATGAAGGAAAGGGAGAACCTCACCGATTTTGATAAAATTTTGTAGGATAATATACTTTGACATGTAGAAACCGAATCTAAAAGCCAAAATCGTCGCTCTTCACGGTGAAGCGAAATATTAATTGATAAAGTTGATCACTTTTAAGGTTAGGAAAACTGTCAAACTAATGTCAACAGCGAGCCTGAACGCAGTTAGCCCCCCACTTTTCAAATTAAATTATTTTGATAATTGTGCTGAGTTGTGCTACGTTTGTGCTACATTGTGCTCGAATTGTAAACTTGTAATAAGAGTAATTCTAGAAAAAAAATGAAAAAAACGATTTTTTGGCCAGCCCCCGCTTTTCGATTTTCGAATTTTCGATAATTGTATTACGTTGTGCTAAATTGTGCTAAGATTGTGCTAAAATAGTGGATACGAAAAAAAATAAATACAGGAGAAAAATAAAAAAAAACAGTTTTCAGCAAAGCAGAACAAATTTGACGTTTATGTCCTTATTTGTTATTCAAACAGTATATAATTGTATATCTGAGTTGTCCTGGCATACCACCAGTCAGCACAAGTTTCATTTTCGCCAGCACAATGATTTTAAGGGCAATTCACTCTTGATCGCGGTCCTTTGCGCTCGCAACCTACGTTCAAAACTACGGGTTCTAGGAATCGCATCGAGGCAGAATTTCATATCTGAGTTGTGCTACCATAGCACAAGTCAGCACAAGTTTCGTTTTCGCCACAATGATTTTAAGGGTACTTCACTCTTGATCGCGGCCTTCGCGCTCGCAACCTACGTTTGAAACTACGAGTTTTAGGAATCGTATCGAGACGGAATTGCATATCTGAGTTGTGCTAGCATAGCACAAGTCAGCACAAGTTTTGTTTTCGCCAGCACAATGATTTTAAAGGTACTTCACTCTTGATCGCGGCCCTTCGCGCTCGCAACCTACGTTTGAAACTACGGGTTTTAGGAATCGTATCGAGGCAGAATAGCACATCTGAGTTGTGATAGCATAGCACAAGTCAGCACAAGTTTTGTTTTCCCCAGCACTATGATTTAAAGGGCACTTTATTCTTCACTTCCGGCTTTCCGTATTAGCTCGCAACTTATTTGGTCGGAACAGTATTAAGTTTGGTGGGAAATTAAATATCTTTCTTTGTTGTGTATTTGTTATATACACATAAGCCGTTCCACCGTGTCAAGGTGGACTTTATCGGAACGGTTTACTGTTTACTTTTTTTATTTTTGTGTTTTATTTTTTTTTGTTTTTGTCTTTTTTGTTTTTTTTGTTTTTCTTTTTTGTTTTTTTATTATTTTTATTTTTTATTTTGTTTATAATGTTTACTTGTTTATGTTATATTTATGTTATATTTTGCAACGATAATAAATTGATATATGTTAGTATTAATTAATGTTAGTATTAAAATTTAATAACATGTAAAAATAAAATGTTAGTATTGTTAACAAAAGTATTAGTATTTTAATAAAACTATATCATAAGCATATTAAAATTAGTTAATCTTCTTTATCCTGTTATGTAAGACAAAACATGATGAAACGCTAAAAGACGTTTCAGCCGAAATACACGTATTGCATAAACGAACATTGCTAAATACGGCAAGTAAATCAAAAGTGCACGCGCTGCAGAAACATCACGTTACACTTTTGAACTGTTAGGTAATTAGGTCGGTAACCTAATTCCCTAATTTCATGAATGATATATAAAGAGTTGGACCATCTACTCGAGAGAGAGAGTAGAGAGAAAAGTACTGTCCAGTCTAGAGGTGCACGTTACATGTCTCAGGTGAGAGACAGCTGACTCGAGAGTAATACGAGTGTTTCGTATCATAATAACGCGATACATTAACCTATTCGGTAAAGGATAAGTTAAAAGGTATCTATGTGAAGTGCAATAAGAGCGTGATCAGAAATTGTAAGAAAACAAGTTCAATAATACATTTTTATTATAAAAACTCCTCAAGACTATAAGATTCCCTTACTATCCTAAACGTTTGCACGTCTGCACCGGATCCCAATTACCGGTTGTGCTTATCATAATTGAGGGCACAACAATATTGGTGGCAGCGGTGGGATCCCGCGGTGTCCAAGCCTGCAACAAAAAGGAAGAAGGGAAAGGTCAAGTTGAAAGACTCAAAAAAATTAACCAATATTAACCTACGAGGGACGAGACACGAGAAAAAAATATCTCGATGACTCAGTAGAAGCAAAATCAAGGAGAACTGAGGAACCGGAACGGACAACGCCACAGCAGAATCGAGGACGATCGTCGGAGATACGATCACCAAAACGCCTGTTGTCAGCGACACCGGAGCCTACAGTACGTCAGCATACCGAGCTAACCCGCCCCAAGCATCATACGTCGGAGTAACGTACA